GTTCGTCAGGGCTGCTCCCTCTCTCCGTTTTTGTTTAACTTTGTTATAGATGTAATTCTTAAAACATCCCCATCTTCGTGTGCGGAGAGCGGCATCGATTCGCTCACAGATTATAGATCGTCTGATCTGGAGTGTGCAGACGACATTGTGCTACTAAGTGAAGATCCGGGTGAGTTGCAAACTTTTCTGGATAATCTGAGTGCTAGTGTAGCCATGTTCGGTATGCGTTTTGCACCTTCAAAGTGTAAAGTGTTGCCACGCGATTGGTTTGGTTCAGCCCCCAACGTCACCTTAACTAGGGAAGTAGTAGAGGAAGTAGACAAATTTTGCTATCTGGACAGCTATATCTCACCTGGCGGACGCGTCACAGATGAAGTGTCAGCACGCATACGCAAGGCTCGATTGGCATTTGCTAACTTGAGACGTCTGTAGCGCCGTCGCGACATCCGGCTGTCTGAGAAGGGTCAAGCGCATGCTGCAGCAGTTCGGCCAGGGCTGGTATACGGTGCAGAGATTTGGCCATTACGAGAACAAGATAGAAATAGGTTGTCGACGTTCGAATGCCGTTGTCTACGCCTCATTGCACGAGTCTGGTGGGGAAACCGGACGAGCAATGCTGAGGTGAGGCTTAGAGTTTTGGTTAATCGCGGTCGTCCACTGGAGCAAGTAGTCGACCTCCATAGACTACGGAGGTTGGGACATGTGTTGCGCATGTGACCAAATAGGTTGCCACGGCACAAAATGTTTGCCGAGGAAGGTAGCGGTTGGCGAAAGGTAAACTGCAGTCAAGCTAAGAGCTGTCATGAGGGTATGAAAACCTTAACCAGGACACTGGGTCACACAGGTATCGTTAGGTTCCCTGAATGGAGACCCCGTGATCATGGTAACCTGAGATTAGAGGCGCTGAGTGATGTGGTTGGGTGCCGCAAGCGGCGGCGCTAGTGCTTCTGTTCAATATTCTTGCAACCCTAATCTGTATGGATGCTTTCTCTTTCTTTTGATTTGGCTCTCAGCATTCCCGCCTTCATTCTGTTGTTTTATCGAAATTTGCCGCCAAAATAGGGCAATCAAAAGCGGCGCGTGAATGTGGGTAGAATTTGTGAACAATGATACTGTGTGTTACCAGTATTCTTTTCGTTTTTTGTTATCCGTTTAGGAGGCTTGTTACAGTGTGTATGCATAGTTTGATTTCTGTACTCTTCTTATTAACTCCCTTCTTCACTTTTCCTTAAATAGGTCTATTCTCACTTCCTCTTGCCTATTAGCACTAACCTTCTATGCCTTGTTAGTTTTTTTCAGCGATCGATGAATTTCACTTCCCGATGATGATAGTTTTTACGTCTGCTATGCATATTGCACAGCTTTTTAAGCGATGGCCAAATTCCGGTTATTTTCGGTTTGTTTCTAGTCCGGTCGGGATAAAGCTACCATCGATGGTCTGCTTCGCGAACGAGACTTTTATTTCAACAAACTACGTGACATCGAGATTCTATGTCAGGAGAATCCGAATTCCCTCATGGTCAAAGACGTGTTAGATATCCTCTATGCTACTGACGTAAGTTTATTTATGTGAAGATTGTTCGAATGTAAGGCTGCGGCTGGAGCCGTGTTTTTTCTTATTGTTTGAGCACAGATCATTGAAATGGAATTCAGGGAAACGAATTTTCATTGTTTACCAAAACGCCACTGAAACTTCCATCAACTATCAGTTGGTTCCTTCATTTTAATCTTGAATCGAATTGTGGTCGTCTGGTGTTCACTGTCATTGTTCCCGTTCACCCAATTTTGGCAACATTTATGAGTAATTATATTTGAGTTTCTTGTGATCTGATGTAGTGATTGATTTTCTGTGCCTTTTGGCCGTCGTTTTTCACTTGACACTTTCCCTCGATCTAGTGATGTCGATATCATCTGTTTGAAGTGCACAGCTTCTGAATGTGTTGTTGATCAGCGATAAATTCGCACGTTGCTCTTTAAACCTCGATTGCGAGCACTCATAAACCCATTTGAAGTCAAACTTGATTGATGCACATTTCGTTTNAATTGCACGTTTTACGGAGATTTGCGCTGGAACACAATGAGGTGTAATAATTATCTTGTTTTCAACGTATGGTTGATTCTTTTCCTGGAATGCTGTTTACGACAGTCTTTGTTTAAAGCTCCCATTTGGAGCTGACCTCTCTCTCTCTCACTAT